TGATTCAATGTCATACATTTAAACAAACTTGGTAGCCCTTGATCCTAGTATGCTACTGACTACATATCATCACCCAGGGCATTTTGGTTATTCAGAAGAAGTTGTTTAAAGTTTTTAACATATTTGACCCCTGTGACCTTGAATATGGGTGAAGGTCATTCTCTTGAACAAACTTTGTAGCCCTTCACCTCAGCTAGCTACTGGCCTAATATCATCACCCTGGGCCTTTTGGTTATTGAGAAGAAGTTGTTTGAAGATTNAATTGACATTTGAAAATAATCTGAAATTCAAAGATATAATCTGAAGAAGCGTTGAAATCATTTAACATTTTACTCCAGTAATAAGCACAATTGGAAACAAAATAAAAATGTTGATGATTGGGTATTCTTGATCTGTTGCATCAAACTTTATCTAACTAGCACAAACCCAAAAGTTTCCACGCCATTTATTGCCTATTCATGTCACATTACCAGTAATTCAGAAGATATGGCCCCGACAAGGTGTTAACGGGCTGTACAACAAATCTTGAGTCAAGTATATATCTTACTTCGTAGGTAAATAAGTATGATGAAATAGGTTTGAGTCATACCTCTAATGCCCGGGCGTGTATCCAAATCAAAACCAAATTCCTTCTTCGCTTTACTGACATCCATCTCCATCGGAATGACTACATCTAGAGGTAACAAATGTATTTTATAAAAATAACATTGACATTAGAAAATAATCTGAAATTCAAAGATATAATCTGAAGAAGCGTTGACATAATTTAACATTTGACTCCAGTAATAAGCACAATTCCGAAGAGACAGTCATGATACTACTTCTTGTTGTTCTCATAAAAGCAATAATTGCAAAAACAAAAACATTAGGAGATTATCGAAGCACCAACAAAACATTAATTAAAACTCAAATCGATGAAACTAGTTCAAAATATTTAGATAGGTCATACATCGAAAGTATTGACAAAGTTGAAACATGAAATATATAAGTCAGCTACAGCATAACAAAGAGATCCTATTTATACCTTCTTGTTATTCTAGAACATTACTAACTGCACAATCAGTGATATGACCCTAACCGCTAGAAAACTTAATAACAATAATTATGAAAATGTTTTGGAAAGGTAAGAGTCTTCTGCTTGATCAACGACACCCGTCATATAAATATAGTAAAATCCCGGTAGTGTCAAGTCCCCATAGAAATAGCCAGGATATCGACAGAAAAACAACAAGGCTTGCTAATGAGCATCAGGATCAACATTGACCTTCATTCAAAAAAGAAATAGCTACTCCACTAAGACGTAATGATTGGCGACATTAAAACTTGTCCACAATTGTCATCAGATTTCATCTCAAGAAACTCCTTGTTGTCTGTCATCAGTCGATATACGTCACGGAAAAAAAAATTGGAGCAAGGTTTAGATTTGAACCTGAATGTGCAGTACGTGTAACACTCCATTTTATCACAATTTGGTTCTTTTATGGTTTATTACTGCAGTATAAACATTTAATCTTTGACTTCGTTTTTATTTTACCTAAGCCTACAGAGAACGAATTCAGAGTGTTCCGATACACTTTCGCTCTTTTTTTTTTTCATTTGAAAAAAAGGTTTAACTTATCAGACGTAACAAACCAGAAAAAGCATTTTGATAATTGCATGGGCATTTTTGATGTGTTGCATCAACTTTTATTTTACTGGCACAAACTCAAAAGTTTTGACGCCATTTATTGCCTATTTATGTCACATTACCAGTAATTCAAAAGATATGGCCCTGACAAGGTGTTAACAAGCTGTCCAACGAACGAATAAACCTTGTGTCAAGTATATATCTTACTTTGTAGGTAAATCAGTATGATGAAATAGGTTTGAATCATACCTCTAATACGCGGGCGTGTATCCAACTCAAAACCAAATTCCTTCTTTACTCTTCTGACATCCATTTCCATCGGAATGACTACATCTAGAGGTAAAATATGTATTTTATTAAAATAGCATTGACATTAGAAAATAATTTGAAATTCAAAGATATAAACTAAAGAAGCGTTGAAATTATTTAACATTCGACTCCATCATCTGACATTGACCTTTAGGATAGACAAATAGAGTTTTCACAGCAAACCATTTAGCCATGATAAACATATATGTGAGATAAATAAATAATAAATGTTCAGCTTTTTCGAAGACATAGTCCAGATAATTATTACAATAAACGAATACTCTTTACCCTGACCTTGAGCTTTAGGGTATTATTATGATAATGTTACACAACGCACCATCTAGTCACAATAGCATAGATTTTATCGTACCCTCGTTACACGTTTCGTTATCATGATCAGTAGTAGAGTCTGTCTTCACAGGACTGACAATCTGCCTCATAGTGGCAATATCCTGTTTCATTGTACCGATATCCTTCTTCATTGATCTAATTTCATCCACCATGGTAATGCCATCATCAAGATGTATGCAATGAAAAGCAAACATAGTAATCAGTATGATGAAATAGGTTTGAGTCATACCTCTAATGCCCGGGCGTGTATCCAAATCAAAACCAAATTCCTTCTTCGCTTTACTGACATCCATCTCCATCGGACTGCCTCCATCTAGAGGTAACAAATATATTTTATAATCAAAGTACTGAAAGTACTGAAAGCTAAGACAAAAGATATATATATATTATTTTTGGAATGGAGAACAAAATAAAGACAAAGTTCCCATCATATTGTACAGAAGGATTTACTGTTAATTTGTTATGAATCAAAGTTTTATGTAAAATTGTACCACTGTGAAGTTATTCTTCTTGTGTGTACAGTATATCTTTNAATAATGGCAGTTATCGAACTTGCCCGAGGTTTCATGGTAATTGACCTTGTTGTGAAGTTTGAAGTTAATCCGTTAATAATTACTTGAGATATCGAGCGGACACTGTTTCGGCAAGAAAAGGGGCATAACTCAAGAAATTATGGTCGGATAATGGCGGTTATCGAACTTGTCCGGGCTTTCATGGTAATTGACCTTGTTGTGAAGTTTGACGTTAATCCGTTAATAATTACTCGAGATATCGAGCGGACATCGCATGCCCGCCCGCCCGCTCACGTGATAACATAATACGTCCCCGTCTTCGACGGGCGTATAAAAAGGATTAGGCTGCCTAAATCATGAGAAATGAAGGTTCAATATTACAGAAACAACATGCCTCAACGATATCAGTGTGTACAGCCTTTTTACTGTTTTTCTTGAACGAAAATCAGTAACAAGAATGCTGATGTTTTGGGGTTGGGATTTTTCGGACGTTTTTTATTTGACCTTCAGGGAATGGACCTTGGACAGTTCAAATTCAAGGTAGCAGTAATGGACTTTAGCTACATTACTTAAGGTACAATTGATCTCAGAAGATCTTTCATAAGACTGTTGAACTTGAAAAAGCTGTTTTTGGCTCCTAAATATGACAAGAGATCCCAGAGGGATCTTGGCGCCCACCTTTGTACCATCTTCATTAGTTCTTTGTCAGTTCGATCTTTTTTCTAATCTGCATGTTAACAGTAAATGCACCTTGAGGTAACTTTTGATCTAAACTTAATACTGATGTTAATGAAAGCCAACCTTCAAAGGGGATTTTGTCATTTCACATATTTACTAGTACAGTACTTAATGTGAAAGAAATAGAATCGATCATTGCAATATGAGAAAGATCTGTTTAGTTCTTCTTTTAATCCATTTTGTTTTTATGATCAATCCAAGATTGCTGCCTGTCGGCCATGTTGTTTATCCGATCAGTCTCAAAAGTTGCCCTGCACAGCTAATTAATTATAAGGACCAAGGGGAACCTGCATATAAAATTTGAGAAAGATCCCTCTGGTACTTCTTGAGAAATACCAATAACAAGAATTGTTTACGGACGGACGACGGACGACGGACCACTGACGCAGGGTGATTTGAATAGCCCACCATCAGATGATGGTGGGCTAAAAATGAAGTTTTTGGATTTGTTATAACGAAGAGCTGCATTAAAATATGATATGATATATGATTTGTACGTTGTCACTAAGCAGGACATTACCTTGCATTGATTTTCTTAAATACAATCTGTAATTGATAATTTTCAAACCTAGGGTCATGATACCTCAAGAGTATGCAGATGGGATGAAAGGAGAAGAAACATTTGACACAAAGCTGAACTAAAAACTTCGTAGGAATTTAAACTGTTAGAGTTCTGCCCTACATATGTTGCACGATATAGGCATGACGATTACAAATGGTTAATTTTGCATCCTAGCAACTCAAATAGGACTATAACAAGTGTCAAAATAGGTTACTTTTGTTATATTAAGGAGAATGAGGAATTAAATGAGCAATTAAACTTGATAAAATAAATAAATTGTTATTTGATTTTTAACAGTCGTTTCTAAATCGATAGAAATATACAATTACATGTATTTATACAGAGAAAGGTTTTGAACGTATGAGCAATCGACAAAGTGATATTGAGGCGCAGTTACATGTACGGTATATATATAAATATCGGAAGTACCTGCCTGGCAAAGCCTTTATCAGCGTAATATATAATTAATTACACCGATCTCACTTTACTCTATAATCCCAGTAAACAATGTTCCAAATTTGTGTCCAGCAGTAAATGTGAAGATCATTGTTTAACTGACATAAGTGACCTTCATTTACAATACCCACTGGTTAAATCATGACATATTAAGTAATTCACTTAAATACACTTGACACTCACATTGACATAATGTTAAGACGATATTAAAATCGCACATAATAATGTAATATTTCCCAGCTTGATTAAAATCTTCATTAAGTTGCTTCTTTCCAAACCCGTTTAAGTCGGCATTGTCATCTACTATGCAAACAATGATATTCGGTGTTAGCCTGTGAACCAACAGTGAATTACCTAACCAACGCCAAAACACATGTTAGCTTTACAGTTATATATACCACTTATGCATTTCTGTAAGGAACAGACCAGGTACTCTACAACTCACCTGAACTTTGTATTTCGATATACGCAATATCGCTTTCAGCTTTACTTGCACCATTGCTTATCCTGCAGATATACATTCCTCTGTCATCTTCGTTCAAATCGCTGATACAAAGGGATGGAGATTTTGGTCCGCCAAAGTATTTTTTATTGTTAATGCGGATAGCATGATATGTTCCATCTTTTACCCTAAACCACTCAATACATTCGACCTCCGAGTTTAGGACCATAGCACATCTCACAATAGCAGTTTCACCTTCTGCGAATTGGTAATATCCTTTACTAAAGCGTACGGTTGGTGTTTCTGAAATCGAAATTGTATATAGTTTACGAAGTCAAAAAGTATAGCCGGATGGGTCTTAGTTAAGATACGTAAACCATTCCCTATCCCACCCCCCAAAAATATACTAAATATAGATAGGAATTTAACTGTATCTTATTAAGACTATTGTATTATCAATGATACTTGCATCATACTAACTGTATGGAAAGCGTTTAACCTTCTCATTGCTATTATCGTGGAAGTGTTGACAGAACAAATCAAAACAACAAGCATCCTTGGCCCACAATTGTCCAGATTAGACATGGTCTATGACCAATCGTAAAGATTGAGACGAATTTCAAATAACAACAAAATGGACACCGCCCTTACTTGCCGCAGATTAGGGAAAAACTCTCTATTTATACGATAATGAACACTCTCTTCCCACAGTGGTCCAGATCATATTTGATTATCATCTTTTTTCTACCCCGATTAAACAGATATATCCACACTTCCGGTCAGGGAAAGATATCTCGATCGTTACCTTAGATAAGAACTGGGGATTCTCCCGACCATAACAATTGCATAAAGTCACGTCAACAATATCTGCTTGGAATTATGAAATAAACACTTTAGGAGTAAAAAAAGAAAAAATGCAACCCTCAGGGTAAAATGTTTAATGTCTGACCCAGAAGCTATGGCTTGATATTTAAGAATCTTATCCCGCGAGTTAAATTTGCTTTTATGTCTTACCCTTAAGTTGGGAAAGATTACATTAAACACAAGAAGATAGGTTTATCCCAGCCGGGTACATACTCTGTTTATACAACATTGATTACAAGTGACTGTTGAAATAAAAGATGGATGACAGGCGGACGCCACATCATATATTGACGGGCCTTCAATGAAGACCGGAACAATTTATACTGTTACCCCTTTTATTGTAATTGAGAGGGTTATCTTTATAGAACTTGCATTGAATTCTGTATATTTTGCTAAAACCAAACCGGAAAAATCACAATTTAGGCTAATCAATTGTCATTTTTCGGAATCCACTAACCTTTTGTCGGTATCATTACTTTCGGTGTAGTCTGTAGTTTCAGAGGTTCGCCAGATTCATCCTTCAATACAATCCTTTCTTTTTGTAGATACACTTTCACCTTCTCTGCTAGGTACAATGCAGACAGTTCGTGTGGCGTCTCTGCCCCGCTGATTGTCAACCTAAGGACAATTGAACCTGAAAAGTAAAGCAGTGTTTTAAATATGATATATGAAAAGTTATATATACCATAAATGTCAAAAGGCCATTAATCGACTCACTTCTATTAATGTGTTGGTTAAATGACTTTAAAATAATGAAATAACAGTGATGTAAAGAAATATAACTTTTATGTTTTACTGGATATTGCAGCAAAGACATACATCTTAATTGTGCTATAACGAAGCATATTCAACTTTAAATTTACTCATCAATAGTTTACATCATATCAATTCTGATATATATTTACACATTCGAAACGTTAGAAAGTTTTTAGCTTAAATGTTTGTCTACTCATCATCTGCATTTTTAATTAATGCAAATATTACAAAGGTAATGTTTGAATGTATTGATTAAAACATATGTCAGGAGTCACTCAGTTAACAAGATAAAACAATTCACTTGCATTATCTACATTCTGGGACAGCCTTCCTACCATGGTATCTTTGTTATTTGAAGAGGGATTTTTTTTCTGTATGTGTGCTCCATGGAAGTGTATAACATATAGTAACTAACATTTGTCTGTGTTTTGTTTTAATTTATATTGCATAAATGGGGAACCTGGTTTAATTATGACTTAAAAATTGCTCCAAATCAGCTCTCATTTACGTTACTTATCTTTATTTCTAGCTTAATTTATTCCATTAAACTTATAGTTTTTTTGTTTTTTTCATATATTTTTCGATATGTTCGTTACGTCAATTATATTTCTTTTAAGAATCATAATGGTAATAATACCTGAACAACCGCTCCATGTAATTCTGCGTTTGAGCTGTGGCGACACTGCTTTTATTTGACTGACCCATTTATTTAGTAATTCTGATTTGTATTCACCACCATAGACGCATTCAATGACGACTGGTTCTTCGCTGGTCACTCCTTGGACATAAGAAATGATAAGAATGATAAAATAAAATCTCACATAAATACGACAAAGTCGTCTTCACAAGAATACAAGAGCATCATTCAGTTCACATTCCGTGGAGATTATTGATTAACTATATTAAACTCATTGGATGGATACAATGTAAATGTAACAATAATTTAACCAATGAAATCATTAGCTATTAATCAATAGTTTGTTTTTCTTTGTCATAAGTTCATCATAAAAAGTTGATATTAATGATATATATAATAATTACATTAAATCAGATATATTGTTTTATAAGAGATGATTACCTCTCTCCAGTACTCTTATATCAGCTTCTGCCTTCCTAATGATGTCTAAGTCGTTTTTATGTGTTTGATAAACAACCTCAGCCAGCTTGTCATAATGACCGTATGTGATCATTTCCTGCTGCATGAGGTAGTCTATAATTTTGTGGAAGCTTTTTGAAAGTTCTCTCGTAGGCACAAACGCTTTTAGCAATTCTGTGAATTTGGCCCATTGGTCTTTTTCTTCAGGACAGATAATGTCAGATAAATCGTTCACCATTTGTCCATGTCGGCTTACAATACGTTCCTTGGTAACCATGTCTGGGATGGGCTCCTCGATTTGACCTGGAAACAATACGTTGAAAAACGATTTTTGAAATGAGCATTTGACTTACGTTCAAGCTGGTTAAGATAACGCATTTATTTTGAAGAAAGTCGCCATCTTCGTATGCAGGATACGACATGGAACGTCCGTGTGGGACAGCTCTATCAATTTCGATAACTACATTTATCTCGTTTAATGTTTGCCTATGGAGTGCATAAAGCGTTTTAATGACATTATTTTTAATACGTTTTTAACAATCATTATTTATTAACGTTTGACACTTTTGACAACATTTACAAAAAAATATATTTCTTAATTTTTTCAGATTCCTCTGTTCTATTTTGTATAGTCAAGTTCACTTCTTGTTTTCCTTGTCCCACGCTATTTTCTGCCACACAAGTGTAAACGCCTTCGCCATATCCTTTTTCGGCATTAGTAATAACAAGTGATGGACAAGTTACTGCACCACCGATGTATTTATCATTGTCGATTGCAATAAATTCTCCTCCTTTCGACCATTTGACAACGGTTGCTGTTGGTTTTGCAATAACATTACATTTCAGAACAGCAACATCTCCTTCTGTTTTTGAGTGAGAGTTTGGGTTCATAATCAGCACAGGAGGACCTAGTGTTAAAGTAATTACATGATAAAAACATATCGAAAATCAATTTGCTTTAAGTGTCAAAAGATTATATTTAACATTCTTTTCTCTTCAATCAAACTAAAATTATTTTCAAAATCCTAGTTCCGTTGTTGTCTATACAAAAAGTATTAAAGGAAGTGAAACGTTGTTAAATGACATTGACAGTAAAGAAAATTTGTAACAAGAGGCCCAATGGGCCTGTATCGCTCACCTGGTATAAAACTCACACTTGTAACCTTAAAAGTGATCTAAAATAAAGCTACAGGCAAAATATCAGTATTTATGATTAAAATTCTTTCAAAAGACTCTTATTTTTTTTTTAAACATTTCACCCCTGTGATTGAAAGTCGAACAAAGTAATTATGTTGAACACATTGTATAGCCTTTCATCTCAGGATGCAACTTGCAAAGTATAAACATCCTGGGACCCATGGTTATTCATAAGAGGCTGTGTAAAGATTTTAAACAAATTTGACCCCTGTGACCTTGAATATGGGTGAAGGTCATTCATTTGAACAACCTTGGTAACCCTTCACCTTAGCATGCTACTGACCAAATATCATCTCCCTGGGCAGTTTGGTTATTCAGAAGAAGTTATTTAAAGGTTTTTTAAGACAATGGACTCCTGTGACCTTGAATATAATTGAAGGTCATTCATTTGAACAACCTTGGTAACCCTTCACCTTAGCATGCTACTGACCAAATATCATCTCCCTGGGCAGTTTGGTTATTGAGAAGAAGTTGTTTAAAGTGTTTTAACATATTTGACCCCTGTGACCTTGAAAATAGATGAAGGTCATTTATTTGAACGTACTTGGTAGCCCTCCATCCCAGTTTGCTTCTGGCCAACCTTTCTAAACGTCATTGTGTTCTAATAACCAGATCCGTGGAAATTTTCCCCCGAATAAAAGAATATCTGAAATTTCAAGTTCAAAGTCGAATCTTCAAAATATAACTTATGTATGATTGTACCCAAAGACATACAGAAGGGCTAGTGTTTGAACTGGATAATTAAATATGGTGTTAATGGTGTTAATGGTCTTATTTATTCAGAGTTAGATAAGTATTTTTAGTTTAAAATGCTTGTCTCAGTTTCATAATATGAAGCCGAGACAGGTTATATGAGGCAATTTCACCTGCCTAAATACTGCAGACAGAACTCCAGGTGTTTTCAATTGTTTCTAACTCAACTTTGATTTCCTGTAATACTATGCTAGCCTGGTAATATGAATTCCTAATCACGCATGCCCAGTTATATGAAATATACAACGATAATTTAAATTTGTGTGTTCAGGCGATAGCTTATTATGAAAAAAAAACACTCCCCATTATAGGATGATTGCTTAAAATACATGAGTTTCATCTATTCTAACCTAGACACTAAACGGTTCTACCGAGCTTATGTCATAAACCAGCATAACATGACTAATGTACTCGTCAACACTAAGATAGGTGATATAATACCTGATATTTTTGAAAAATCGTCCAAAAACCATAGTTTACACGTTTAAACCCTAATTCCATATAATATATATGTATTTATCTATTTTTGCAGCAATCAGGATCAAATAAGACAGGTAAGGTTTTACCTCCTTCAACGTTCAGCTTAGTAGGTGCACTCTGGCCTTTCCCACATAAATTGGATACGGTACACACATATGCGCCTTCATCATCCTTCGTTAGTTCATTGATGACTAAGTGTGGGTCATACAGGTTTGATCCTTTATACTTCCGCTGGTCTATACTTAGCTGAACGGATCGCCCTCCAGGCAAAACATGTTGCCAGGAAACAGACGTAATCCACGGAGTTGCAGCCACCGAACACTTAAGTTCTACTCGTTTTCCTATTAAGGCGGTATAGTTTGCTTCGAGTGTTTCGACAGTAGGGGTACCTGACAATTAAAACAAATGCAATGTTTAAAACCTTTCTAAACGTCATTGTGTTCTAATAACCAGATCCGTGGAAATTTCCCCCCGAATAAAAGAATATCTGAAATTTCAAGTTCAAAGTCGAATCTTCAAAATATAACTTATGTATGATTGTACCCAAAGACATACAGAAGGGCTAGTGTTTGAACTGGATAATTAAATATGGTGTTAATGGTGTTAATGGTCTTATTTATTCAGAGTTAGATAAGTATTTTTAGTTTAAAATGCTTGTCTCAGTTTCATAATATGAAGCCGAGACAGGTTATATGAGGCAATTTCACCTGCCTAAATACTGCAGACAGAACTCCAGGTGTTTTCAATTGTTTCTAACTCAACTTTGATTTCCTGTAATACTATTCTAGCCTGGTAATATGAATTCCTAATCAAGCATGCCCAGTTATATGAAATATACAGCGGTAATTTAAATTTGTGTGTTCAGATGATAGCTTATTATTCTGTTCGGGAATTTTCGAAAAAAAACACTCCCCATTAGGATGATTGGTTAAAATACATGAGTTTCATCTATTCTAACCTAGACACTAAACGGTTCTACCGAGCTTATGTCATAAACCAGCATAACATGCATAATGTACTCGTCAACACTAAGATAGGCGATATAATACCTGATATTTTTGAAAAATCGTTCGAGAAACATAGTTTACACATTTAAACCCTAATTCCATATAATATATATTTATTTATCTATTTTTGCAACAATCAGGATCAAATAAGACAAGTAAGATTTTACCTCCTTCAACGTTCAGCTTAGTAGGTGCACTCTGGCCTTTCCCACATAAATTGGATACGGTACACACATATTCGCCTTCATCATCCTTTGTTAGTTCATTGATGACTAAGTGTGGGTCATACGGTGTTGATCCTTTATACTTCCGCTGGTCTATACTTAGCTGAACGGATCGCCCTCTAGGCAAAATATGTTGCCAGGAAACAGACGTGATCCACGGAGTTGCAGCCACCGAACACTTAAGTTCTAATCGTTCTCCTATTAAGGCGGTATAGTTGGCTTCGAGTGTTTCGACAGTAGGGGTACCTGACAATTAAAACAAATGCAATGTTTAAAACCTTTCTAAACGTCATTGTGTTCTAATAACCAGATCCGTGGAAATTTTCCCCCGAATAAAAGAATATCTGAAATTTCAAGTTCAAAGTCGAATCTTCAAAATATAACTTATGTATGATTGTACCCAAAGACATACAGAAGGGCTAGTGTTTGAACTGGATAATTAAATATGGTGTTAATGGTGTTAATGGTCTTATTTATTCAGAGTTAGATAAGTATTTTTAGTTTAAAATGCTTGTCTCAGTTTCATAATATGAAGCCGAGACAGGTTATATGAGGCAATTTCACCTGCCTAAATACTGCAGACAGAACTCCAGGTGTTTTCAATTGTTTCTAACTCAACTTTGATTTCCTGTAATACTATTCTAGCCTGGTAATATGAATTCCTAATCAAGCATGCCCAGTTATATGAAATATACAGCGGTAATTTAAATTTGTGTGTTCAGATGATAGCTTATTATTCTGTTCGGGAATTTTTTAAAAAAAAACACTCCCCATTAGGATGATTGCTTAAAATACATGAGTTTCATCTATTCTAACCTAGACACTAAACGGTTCTACCGAGCTTATGTCATAAACCAGCATAACATGACTAATGTACTCGTCAACACTAAGATAGGTGATATAATACCTGATATTTTTGAAAAATCGTTCGAGAAACATAGTTTACACATTTAAACCCTAATTCCATATAATATATATGTATTTATCTATTTTTGCAGCAATCAGGATCAAATAAGACAGGTAAGATTTTACCTCCTTCAACGTTCAGCTTAGTAGGTGCACTCTGGCCTTTCCCACATAAATTGGATACGGTACACACATATTCGCCTTCATCATCCTTCGTTAGTTCATTGATGATTAAGTGTGGGTCATAAGGGTTTGATCCTTTATACTTCCGCTGGTCTATACTCAGCTGAACGGAACGCCCTCTAGGCAAAATATGTTGCCAGGAAACAGACGTGACCCACGGAGTTGCAGCCACCGAACACTTAAGTTCTAATCGTTCTCCTATTAAGGCGGTATAGTTGGCTTCGAGTGTTTCGACAGTAGGGGTACCTGACAATTAAAACAAATGCAATGTTTAAAACCTTTCTAAACGTCATTGTGTTCTAATAACCAGATCCGTGGAAATTTTCCCCCGAATAAAAGAATATCTGAAATTTCAAGTTCAAAGTCGAATCTTCAAAATATAACTTATGTATGATTGTACCCAAAGACATACAGAAGGGCTAGTGTTTGAACTGGATAATTAAATATGGTGTTAATGGTGTTAATGGTCTTATTTATTCAGAGTTAGATAAGTATTTTTAGTTTAAAATGNCCACTCCCCATTATAGGATGATTGGTTAAAATACATGAGTTTCATCTATTCTAACCTAGACACTAAACGGTTCTACCGAGCTTATGTCATAAACCAGCATAACATGACTAATGTACTCGTCAACACTAAGATAGGTGATATAATACCTGATATTTTTAAAAAAATGGTTCGAGAAACATAGTTTACACATTTAAACCCTAATTCCATATAATATATATTTATTTATCTATTTTTGCAGCAATCAGGATCAAATAAGACGGGTTAAGATTTTACCTCCTTCAACGTTCAGCTTAGTAGGTGCACTCTGGCCTTTCCCACATAAATTGGATACGGTACACACATATGCGCCTTCATCATCCTTCGTTAGTTCATTGATGACTAAGTGTGGGTCATAAGGATTTGATCCTTTATACTTCCACTGGTCTATATTCAGCTGAACGGATCGCCCTCCAGGCAAAATATGTTGCCAGGACACAGACGTGATCCACGGAATTGCAGCCACCGAACACTTAAGTTCTACTCGTTCTCCTATTAAGGCGGTATAGTTGGCTTCGAGCGTTTCGACAGTAGGGGTACCTGACAATTAAAACAAATGCAATGTTTAAAACCTTTCTAAACGTCATTGTGTTCTAATAACCAGATCCGTGGAAATTTTCCCCCGAATAAAAGAATATCTGGAATTTCAAGTTCAAAGTCGAATCTTCAAAATATAATTATGTATGATTGTACCCAAAGACATACAGAAGGGCTAGTGATTGAACTGGATAATTAAATATGGTTTTAATGGTGTTAATGGTCTTATTTATTCAGAGTTAGATAAGTATTTTTAGTTTAAAATGCTTGTCTCAGTTCATAATATGAAGCCGAGACAGGTTATATGAGACAATTTCACCTGCCTAAATACTGCAGACAGAACTCCAGGTGTTTTCATTTGTTTCTAACTCAACTTTGATTTCCTGTAATACTATTCTAGCCTGGTAATACGAATGCCTAATCAAGCATGCCCAGTTATATGAAATATACAGCGGTAATTTAAATTCGTGTGTTCAGGTGATAGCTTATTATTCTGTTCGGGAATTTTCGAAAAAAACACTCCCCATTAGGATGATTGCTTAAAATACACGAGTTTCATCTCGTCTAACCTAGACACTAAACGGTTCTACCGAGCTTATGTCATAAACCAGCATAACATGACTAATGTACTCGTCAACACTAAGATAGGGGATATAATACCTGATATTTTTGAAAAATTGTTCCGAGAAACATAGTTTACACATTTAAACCCTAATTCCATATAATATATATTTATTTATCTATTTTTGCAGCAATCAGGATCAAATAAGACAGGTAAGATTTTACCTCCTTCAACGTTCAGCTTAGTAAGTGCACTCTGGCCTTTCCCACATAAATTGGATACGGTACACACATATTCGCCTTCATCATCCTTCGTTAGTTCATTGACGACTAAGTGTGGGTCATACGGGTTTGATCCTTTATACTTCCGCTGGTCTATAATCAGCGGAACGGATCGCCCTCCAGGCAAAATCAGTTGCCAGGAAACAGACGTGATCCACGGAGTTGCAGCCACCGAACACTTATAATTAAGTTCTACTCGTTCTCCTATTAAGGCGATATAGTTGGCTTCGAGTGTTTCGTTAGTAGGGGTTTTAATGGTGTTAATGGTCTTATTTATTCAGATTGAAATTAATATTTTTAGTTTACAATACGTGTCTCAGGTTCATAATATAAAGCCGAGGTAGTTTATATGAGGCAATTTTAACTGCTGAGATATTGCAAACAGAACTCTAGGTGTTTTCATTTGTTTCTAACTCAACTTTGATTTCCTGTAAAATTATTCTAGCTGGGTAATATGAATGCCTTATCAAGCATGTCCAGTATTATGAAAGCTACTGCGGTAATAAACATCAAAACTAAGAGAGGTGATATTATACCTGTTCATTCTCGGACATAACGTTATGGGAGTACCAACAATCTAATACTTTATATTTGTTATTTGTATATATTTTGATATTTTTTTAACATTTTATTTCTGAAAGAACTGAAATGATAGGAGGACCAACCCTCTCATGACTTAAAGCAAACGTTATTCAATGCTGTCAAATTATATGACACAACAAAACATATGTTCAACCAGCATTGTAGTGTCGTCGCTTTGAACTTGTGAACTGACAGATAGGTGAGAGGGCATGTGTCCCCATTAGTTTTGCCAACGTTTTAAGCCAGCTCCTGCACGTTAGATGTTTAATGTTGACGTTTCTGAACGCATTGCCTATCCCTACTATCCCAATTTCCCGAACGATCTCTATTGGAAAATTGGAAGATGGCCAATCCAATTTTATTTTTCTGATACGACTGCTTTACAATAGTATGTTATCTTGTTGCAAAAAGCTACAGAGCCATGACGTTTTGAACACTGGATTACCAACATCCTCGAAATATTGCCTCGATAACAAACCCCAATTAAAGGTCTGACATACCTTACCATAACACAAGTTTTGTACTATTATGACCACAAATTATCATCTCAGACCATCTCACTAGCGCCACGTTTACAACGTTTTATGAAGCAGACGTTCGCAAAACGTTCTCTCCATGAAATGCAGATACTTGTTTTATCCTTAAAAGAACATTGTTCCTTTACCGTAATACCTAACTTTGATGTGTACGGACTCAATTAAGGCGGTTGTTACATCAGTTCTTTGTGGGTGTGAAGCCACTGGAGGTTGACCAAGTTTTGTTCCGATGATTCAACAAAAGGTTTAACGTGTTCGCACTGAAGCCAAATTGTTGTACAAATTGACGTTACAGCACTCCAACATGGAGCACCGATATCTTTAGTCCAAAGAAGGAGGAATTAACCTTTCCTTTTTACTGAATATATTTATGGTATATCAAAAACATTTTACTTTAAAGCTTTTTTACTGAAAAGTCTAACGAATATTTAGTATGGTAAGTACATTTGTGTATAAGATTGCATTGTTACTGGAGTAAGTAATCAACTTCATTGTCAAGCAAAATAGCAATAACACATTTACCACAGTACCATGACGTGATTAACAC